AAATACCACGTTCATGCATAAATATTAATTTCACTCGCGAATGCGAATTTTCGATTTTCTTATCTAAATTCAGGACACGGCAAAAAAGAGCTTGCCATGTGACTTTCAAGGACAGTCATCATTGCTTACGGTATTATGACCTCTAGCTGTTTCTCTTTTGTTTTCCCTTTTGAGTCACTGTCAATTATAAAATTTTGAAATGCCAAGGATTTTCTACCCAAGGAATAGATAGATTACTTAACTTCGTTCTTTATTTGGCCTTTTTAACTATTTTATTCGAGCGTCACTGATGATTCCTTGTAGACTTAACTCGCGTGTGGCGTACAACATGTTAATCCTGGTATTTTTTATATCAACACGTCTTTTTATATAAATTGGTTCTTTTGAGAGTATGTTCAGGTATTCATAAAACTTCTGAAAATAAGATATTCTTCAAAACCAAGTTTCCTTGTAAAATATTTGGATTGATCTAAGTAAAATCAGGAAATCCTTAAAATTTGAGATGTTTTATGAGACCAAAATAAGTCTCTATATAAGAGGTCTTAATGAAGCTGGTGTGTTACTCTCAAGAAAAATATACGAAACCTTCTTATAAGTTGCATGCCACAGGGTTTCACTTCACATGGAAAATGGACTTTAAATGTATCTGTACAACATCTACCATGAGTACAGACAACTTCAAAAACGAGTTGAGAATATGAAGGCACCCATGCAGGAAACAAAATATAAAGATGTGATAGATAAAATAAATGCATCCAGATTATAAAGCAAACTGAGTGCTTAAATTTATATTGCGATTGGTTTGTGCAATTTGCATTATACATCTGGTTTGTAGAAACTGCGATTTGCAATAGGATTATAAGAAAATGATGTAAAATCCCAAGTAATAAATGCAATAGTCGAGCTTTAAAATGTATATTCAAATAGTAGCTGTATATACACTTTTCTATTCACACCTATCCATCATTGCTTTCAACTGACTTGTGCAAGAATGTACACACTATTACATATTTTTAATAAAGGTAGTTTAACTTCATCATTATCTCCTTCTATTCACAGTCAATTATTTCAATTCAAGCAAACAAAAATTCAGCAACAATCTTTTGGTGACCAGTCAGCGGTCTTAGGTTCACGTATTGCTTTTCTTTTTTTAAAGAAAGCAACTTGTTGGATTAGAAACTGTAAATTATATTCGAAATGTATCTTGTAAACTAATTGTGCATGAATAAATTGGTCTCAAAGGAGAACATTAAACCAACATTGATTGTAATCGACTTGATCCTAAAAAGGATTAAAAATAACTAAAAATATAGCAAACGAGATTCGTGTTTTCTAATTGATTCCTTCAGGAAGCCAACTGTAAAACATTGTAAATTAAAAGGTTTTAAGCCATGTGCAAGTCATGAAAATATCACCATGGTTTTTTTATCAATTTCAACATCCAGCAGTCAAACCAAGCGAAACCAATTTGTTAACCATACAATCATCATACGGTAAATATTTCAAGATGAATTATTTTAAATGAAGATACATTTTGCTGAAGAAAATTTTGGCCACGATCGTACTGAAGAATATCTTTATAGAGACAAACCTCGTATATGTGTATCCTGTATTTGTATTTGTAAAATTACGTACAAACTATATGTATATCACTACAGCACAAGGCGTTAATGGTAACATGATCGGATCGTCATCTTGATCTTTTATTAATACGATCCATACATTGTACCTTGGGAATAAAAACTATTAAAACTGACTGTTATCATTATTATTATGTGTACGTTTCAATATTGCCTGTTTATAAAATCCAAGATATGATTTCAAAATTAATTGATGTTCTATCAACAGAAAATGTTAAAAAAGAAATTTTAGATTTAGAGATGCAACATTTTGAAAGCAATAAACTAGGCGTTGATGGTGCAACTGAAAAACTTGCAAACATTTTACAAACTATTGCAGAAAATACATGAAAAGGCATATCTAAACCAACTAAAAAGAAAAAGAAAAAAATTAAACAAGTATGGTCAGATAATACAGTATATGAAACAAAAAGACAAATAAACTATATAGGAAATAAAATCAAGAATAACTTAAATGACAAAAGTTTAAAACCTAAATATTTTGAATTATGTAAAACACTAAAAAAAAAATGATTAAACAGAAAAAAATTTGAATATCACCAAAAACTTTATAAATCACTTTCAGATTATTTTAAAAATAATCCAAAAGAATACTGGAATGTTCTAAAGGCAATAAAAAAGAAACCAAATATTGAAGAAGATATTCCTGATATTTTAATGAATGACAATAAAATCATAAAACATTTTCAGGATCAGGGTACACCAGCATCATGTGATAAACCCTTTGTAAATAAACTGGAACGCGAATTAAACATTCTAGAGGATAATATTGAATTGAATATGGAAACTGATGTACCAATTACATTTGCTGAGGTAAAACTGGTCATTTCAAACCTTAAAGTAAACAAATCAGCAGGTCCAGATAGAATTGTGAATGAAATACTCAAACATTCACAACCTGTGATAATTAATTCTATTGTAAAAGTTTTTAATTTGATTTTAAAGACGGTAATTATCCAGATTCATGGAAATTATCTTCCATGATCCCTTTACATAAAAAAAGGTGACAAGTTAGACCCTAATAATTGTAGAGGAATTTCTCTTATAAGTAATCTACCTAAAATTTTTAATGTCATATTGAATAATAGGCTAATCAAGATTGTTGACAAACAATTAAGTGATTATCAGTTTGGTTTCAGAGATAATCACAGAATAGCTGATAGCATCTTTTTATTGAAGTCCTTGATTAATAAATATTTACATAAAGAGAAAAAAAAAATTTATGCCTGCTTTATAGATCTGAAAAAGGCTTTTGATTCAGTATGGAGAACTGCTTTACGTTATAAATTATGCAAAATGGGAGTTGGCAGGTCTTTTTACAGAGATACAAAACAACAATACTTAAATACTAAATCATCTTTGAAATACAAAGATTATGTATCAGAATTTTTTAATATTGCTAGAGGGGTTAAACAAGGAGACACCCTGAGCCCCACTTTATTTAATGTCTTCAAAGATGATATTGTAAGAAATTTTTGGGGAAATGATTCAAGTCCCCTTAAGCTAATAAATAGTAAGGTGGGATGCCTCCTTTTTGCGGATGATCTTTTGATCCTGTCAGAATCAAAAGAGGGTCTTCAAAACAGTTAATGGGACCCTTTGTAGCTTGCTGTTCGGTGCGAGCCAAGGCTCCGTGTTGAAGTCCGTACTTTGACCTATAATGGTTTACTTTTATAAATTTTGACTTGAATGGAGAGTTGTCTCATTGGCATTCATACCACATCTTCTTATATCTATATAAATAATTTTAAATTATATTGCAACAAATGGCAACTCTCTTTAAATACAAACAAAACAAAATCCATGATTTTCAGTCAGTCCAAACAAAATAGTGAAACATCACATATTTACTATGAGAATGAAGCCATAGAGAGCGTATCAGAATATTCATTTTTGGGAATGTTGATAAAATGTAATGGAAATTTATCACAAAGTACTTTAGAGCTGACAAAAAAGGCAAAAAAAGTATTTTTTGCAATAAAACCCTATACTAAATCATTGAATAATCTACCTAAAAAAGTAGCAAATAATCTTTTTGATTCTTTAGTAAAACCAATTATGACCTATAATTCAGAAGTAACATATTTGGATACATATATTTCTTTTCATAGAGCCAAAAACAGAGCCTTATCTTCAGGAAAATAAATTAATCAACTTGATTTTACAGACAAAACCCCTTTTGAAAATATGCATCTTAAATTTTGTAAATCTACTCTAGGAATAAGAAAAAATGCATCCAATTTAGGAGCAAGAGTTGAATTAGGAAGATTGCCTATAGAATGTTTTATTAAAACACAAACTCTTTTATATTTAGCTAGACTATATAATAATAATATTAATCCATTGATAAAGGAAGCTTTTTCTCAAGCACAGTCTCCGGATTTAACTGAAACTTATTCATGGTATACATATGCAAAAAATATTGTTGAAGAGACTAATACTGACCTTAATATTCTTTTTACTTGTAAGGACATAAAATATGTAAATAAAATAAAAAACGATATAAAGTTAAAAATGAAAAATAGATATGAAGATTTAATTGAAACTAAATTTGAAAACATTGATGATAAAAGTAAATTTTATCTATATAAAAAACTTAAAAAAGATTGCAAACTAGAATCTTATTTAAATATATCTAATTTTCAGATTAGGAGATTGATCACTTAATTTAGACTAAGTGATCATTCCCTCTTAATTGAAAAGGGGAGATATTTTAAAATCCCAAGAGAGGAACGACTTTGTCATAAATGTAAAATACTAGAGGATGAGAAACATTTTTTACTCTATTGTGATTATAATAAAACACTAAGAAATGCCTTTTTTGAACACATATGTACTGAAAATAATAACTTTAATAATTTAAATGAAGAAGAAAAAATTCATTATTTACTAAATCCATCAACGCCTTTACAAATAAATAAGTTAGGATCCTTCTTGAAAAAGTCATTAGAACTGAGGGCAGGGGACTCTTAACAGCTTGTTTGTTTTTATAAATTTTGATGCTGTTTTTTATTGTGTATGTTTGATATGTATGTATATATGTTTATTGTGTTAATACATTTTGGTCACAAACTGTAAAGTTTATATGACAGTAAAATATTTGATTTGATTTGATTTGATTTGTTATTTTGAATATCAGATACTAGTGTACGTTTCAATATTGCCTGTTGATAACTGTTCAAGTTATGAGATTGTTATTTTAAATAACAGATACTAGTACAGTGCTGTAATATTTTAAAACGATATCAAATTATTTTGCACTGAAGTAAGTTTTGTAATTGGATTTCTTCCACTTCTCAGATATTATTTGCCTGATCATGAAATATATCACTAAAAATAAATGATCATAGTTTATAGATATCATGTTTTAATCAGGTTAGATAAACGATTTTCATTGTACAATTTTGCACCTCCCAGGAAGAAATGCGAGAGTTTCTGTAAGTCATGATTAAATGTTTATTACTCAAGATTCCTTAATTTTTACGACAAATAAATGAATGTGTCTTATTTTTCACAAATGGAAAATACACATATGCTGGTAAATCGAATTCCATTAGTTGACTTGGCATGCTTTATCACCTTTTCTGTAGAATGATTCTATCGAAATATATACATCAACAACATATACGGGTATGACCTGGTTTGGACATTTTACGACACTGTTTCACATCCAGTATAAAACACAACAGATAACTGGTTACCATGGTTACGTTATCTAAACCATGACAACACTACAGCTAGACATTCAGCCAGTGCTGCTTCTGTAAGAAGATTTATGAAATACTGATAAAACTAATAAACTGCAATATTCAAAATTGTTGTCATTCCCGCAACAATCAAGTTCTATATGTTCTAAATGATGTCCATTTGACATTTTGATTAGCTTTTTTATTGTGTATATGTGTTGTTTGTGTTTTTTTGTGTTTATGTGTTTTGGTTAAATATGCGCTAAAATAAACTGAAAAAGTAGTCAGTAGGAAAAAATTTCAAATATATCATTTTTTTTTGTTGGGTCGCTGTCACATTTAGAATACAAAAACAAAACTTCATGTCCTTTAAATCATCGTTTATATCCACATTGGAAACTGTCTATATTTGAAGTTCCATGTTCACCAATATTTTTTATGACAATAAAATCCATCACAATTTAGATTTTATATCCCGTTAGGGTAACGTTAAACTGTTTTTTTTTTCATTAAATGAGCGACAACATGTCGAGACAAAAAAGCTAATCAGTTATAATCAGGTATATACCTTGAATCTTTTAATATCACCGCTTTGGACTTCTTCCTGTTCCCACTTTGGTGAAATGCACTGTGCTATTCTCTGAAATTATAAGTCGTCTTACAAACAGCATTTTCAAATGTGTAGAAGGGGTGGAGGGAAAGGGGCGACAAAGAACATACTAGTAGCTAAATTAATGTCTATCAAAGTCTTAGAGGATGAATTGTTGATTCTTTGAAGTGTCAGCCGACAATTTTATTAATTCGAAGAACATATTTAGAATCTATCTTACTCAAATGTTTTTGCTGATTTATTATTTCCCTGTGTATTTGTTTGTTTTTTACACCAACATGTAACATGTCAATTCTCAGCTGCTCAGTGGCAAATGTTCAATAAAACTGTCAAATTTCTTTACTGTTCTTTTGCTTTTCTCGTGGAACCTCACGAAAAGGGAGACTAGTTCCTTAATGAATGCACAAAGAAAAGTATTAGTTGTGGGTCAGTAGATTATGTGTATTATTTTTACTGTAGATAAAAATAATTAACATGGGCTTAAATTTACTGAAAACAATGACAAGGCACAACTTAGCCAAGTCTCAACTGTTTCATTACATAAAGAGCACCATACTATGTAATTAGTGTATGGACAGCTTTTATAGTATTATCAATTGTAAAAAAATATGTATTGTAAAAAATACTTTAAATAAGCACGTGTTACAATGTTTTGTTCGCTGTTACTCTTTTAAGTGCAATAATTTTTTGATAAATGTTCAATAATTTACCAAGTACGTATATATATTGCACGAATGAACTATTTTTAATAAATAGTTTTGAAATTTTAATACAAAGATAACAATAATTACAAAAATGTGCCATAAAGATTGAGCCAATGGCAAGATAAAATGTGAAAAGAATCATAATTTTTTCGAATAGCTGCAAATGTTGAAAACGCCATCAGATTATTATAAAAAATCTAAATAAAACTATTTCAGAGATGTGAAGTTTCAACAAATATGCAAAATTGGTGCTCAATGTTGTTTTTTTTTTTTTTTAATATTATTTAAAGTTATTTTTTGTTTATCACTTCTGACAGGACTGTTTGTCCTTCATCAAAAAAGTGTGGTGATTGTCCCCTTTGTCTCGTCTCGTTTTTTATACTTACAAATCGTAAATTTCCAGGTGTCTTTATTATCTTGTATATTGCAAATATTGGTACAAAAGACATAGAAAGTCCACTGATTGTCCACCCTATTATATTAGCGTAGTTTGGGTACGTGTAAGTCCCAAGACTCCCTTTGTATACTAATGGTTGGAAATGCAGAAAGCTTGATATCACAATAATCTTGAAAACAAAATACGAATATGTTATACAGTCATTTAAAAAAAAACATCAGTGACCCTGTATAAACTTTCTTATCCAATATAATAGCATATTTTTGATAGGCACTAAATACATGTTCCATCTTCATAACATCATCATACATTAAACAGAAGATTGTCTGAAAAGCTACTGAACTTTCAACAATAAAAAATCTGAAAAATTTACTTTTACACTTAATAAGACTAAAGGTTTTTAGGTTCAAACTTTCTAGATAATGTTAAGATCAAAATGACTTTTTCAGTTCAAAATTTGTTAACTAGGAGCTATAGGTATGTATAATGAAATATTCCTCAATATTCTTGAAAAAATCATCAACAAACAGAGGTTAAAAACAACCTGAGTATTTTTCCTATTTTAAAACATCCAAATGAAGGAAATATGCAAATTAAAAACAAACGCAATATTGTAACACCAAATTACAATAAATGCAATTCCTATAGCTACTACTGTAGCTTTGTTCTATAAATGTGTATTTCGATAATCATTAGCATTAAGTTTTCTCTTTGTTTTGTTTTAGCGTCTAAAGAAAGTTAACTCATAGATACAAATTAAATAAATGCGGATACATTGAACATACCATGAGGAATGTAGGAGATATGAATTTCCAACAAAGTCTCCAATAAAGTCCTGGTCTATGTCCAGTCATCTGATGTATATCAGTACAAAACTGATCTACTCCTATAAGATAATTAAATAATAAGAATACTAAATAAGAAGGTTAAGCAAAAAATATAAGAACTATAAATTTGTAATAGATAAATATGTAGACATTCCAATAATTTGTAGCCAATGTACATGTGTTTGGTTTACATTTTGATAGTTTACTTGTTCAGCTCGCAAAAAGAAGCACCATCTCAGATAAATGTCATATTCTAAAAAGTTTTGTAAAGATAAGATGGGGCGTGTTAAGGCGAAAATGTGTGATTTTCCATTTTTCGTCAGTTTTAGTTGTTAAAAGTGATATTCTTTGGACAAAGCGTCATAACACAGAACTTTATTGGTTAAAACTGTATTTGTTTTACTAGTATGGTTATTGTTCTCTTCGATACAGGTAACCAATACAAAAACAAAATGACACAAAATAAAAAATTTTGATCCTTTCATGATAATCAAAATCTATGTAAAGAAACAAAATGATACATTTATAATAGTCGTTATGTACTTTTAATGCAGAATGCCATTTATAAACACGATTTTGTTATTCCTTTTTAAAATTTGTACAATTTAGTTGGAATGTCTAAAATATGTGTCTGCATTATTTGAAATACACCAAGCCTTAAACACTTCCTTTTAATGTAAGTTTAGATGTATTTTTAGACACGTCACGTTTCATTTATTTCTTAATTGCTAACTTTTATTATTTTCTTGAATTGTTTTTGATGACAAAACGGTAAGACATTGATTTAAAAAGGGAATATATTTATGATCGTTTTAACTGTGTTAGACGGGAAGAAATACTGTTAAAAACTTATTGGATACTACAAGACAGTGGAGGAGATCTAATGAACATTTTGAACATCTGTAAATAACCTTAAATGCTGATTACAGTTTGCTCATTACAAACTTTCACCAAAGGTCCTGCTATGGAATCATTTCAAATAATGACATATGTATTTGTTTGTATAGTGACTTAGATTATAAAACCATGTTGACTGTTGTACCCCTCTTTTTCACATTTTTACCTATTACGTCTGTTTGTTTTGTTCTCACATTGTTGTCAATATAATGAAATTGTATGCGACTGTCATTCAAGTGAGAGGTTTATCTAGCTATAAAACCAGGTTAAATCCAACATTTTCTACACATGAAAATGCCTGTACCAAGTCAGGAATATAATAGTTGTTTTCAATTCGTTTGATGAGTTTGAGCTTTTGATTTTGCCATTTGATAAGGGACTTTCCGTTTTGAATTTTCCTTCGAGTTCGGTATTTTTGCTATTTTATTTTTTATACCATTGAGAGCACTTAGTTGACCTGAATCGGGAAATTTGTTCATAGTTATATTTTAATTTGAATGCTGAAGATGAATAACCATCAATACTTATAGTATACAGAACGGTTATGTATGAAAGGAACAGATACATATTAGTATAAGACAAAATAATTCAGCTTGCGTCATAAAGTAATTTATCAGGTACAGTAAACTTACAACAGTCACTGTAGAAAGAGGTGCTTGTCCATTAAATACTATTCATTGCTGAAATTCTCAAGTACAATTGATTGATTGATAAATCTAAGTTTCCTTCACTATCAGTTGAAAATAATTCATGCATATTCAGAACAAGAATAATTTAATAGTACATCAAAAAGGAAGTTTCTGCAAAAGTGATCATCAGGTCAAAACATGTATTCACTCTACCCGTAGTATCTAGATTAAAGTCCCCATTCAGACAAGGCGTGGCTTCGTATTAATTTATCATGTACAGCCAAACAGCCGACCCTTTTTAGATTTCGGTTTGTTAAACTGCCAAATAGGAGAAGTCCATTGATGACCATATTTCTATACCCGAATCAACGCTTTGTATTTCGCAAAATATGGGTAAATAGTATTACACACTTCAAACATACACTAACTGATTTTACCAATAATTCTATTTGAAAAAGGAAAAAAAATATCTGATTTATTTACTAGTAACAGTTTATCAAACCAATTATCAAACGTTTTTGTATATAAAAAAACAATTTTAGAGTTCACTGGAGTTCGGAATGGATTAAACTGAATTAAAAATTAAAGAAACCAAGGGGACAAAAATGACAAAAAAAAGTCAAAGAAAAACATCCTTATAGAATGTATACCACGTACTTAGCATTTGACTTTCAAATGGCATACGGGTTTTTTATGGGTTGTCATGTAAGTTTAATTTTGTACTTACCGTAAACCCATGCAATAGCAGTGACCTGACATAACACGATGAACAGGAGAGATGTTCCTGCTGCAAATGTATCAAGAATTTTGAATACATACATGCCACCCTGGAAGTGGAAAGAACAAGTAGATAAGGAATGAATGAGTTACTCATATCTAATTTTTAATTAAGTTATTGATCTCAAAAATACATGCAGTGACATATTATCAAATCAAGACGTCTATGGTTGCCTTTATCATGCTAATATGAACATGTGATTGCTATGTTCGCAAAAATATTGAGCGTTCCTGGTGAAGGTTAATTAAAAAAACCCATCATTCAATAAATTCACATTTTACAAATTTATCTCAGGCATTTTGCATATACATGTTCCCAAATGCAGTCACTAATAAAATTGTATTTTCTAATGGTATTTGTGAATTATAAAAAGAAAAAGTATACAGTCGTATGCCATGTTATACTTTGCAAACCCCCATGAGAAACACACCATTCCCACTAAATTAGTATGTTTAATTTTTATTCGAATAATTGTATTTGCCATTATAGTGCTTACGCATTTACTAACATTTAAAGTTATCTCTTAAGGTCGAAGCATTTGCTAGCATTAGTTTAAAAACATTGACAGATACTACTAGCAAGAGAAACTCTGTTAAATATTCAGCATAAAAACGCAATATTTTTACAAAATGGTATTTAATTAACGGGTTCATGCGAGTATTCACTTTTGAACTGGGCTCATTTAAGAAAAGGAATCCTTCTTTCATCTTTGCAATAAATGAAAGGGCTGCATCTTAAGCTTCTTTGATTCTACACCTTACTAAACGTTGAAATGGAATAACGTGAAATGTAAAAATGAAAGGTTCTTTATTGCACATGTATAAACAAAGCCAAAACATTATCAATCCGAGCAAGATTCCATAATTAATCATGAATTTTGTGAATACTAGTCCAACAATAAATATACGATTCATCAACATCAGCATGGGATTTCTGCACTATTCATGTGTATACCTTTTTGGAACAAAACAATATTTCGGTGAGGTATTTTAGTGTTAACAGCTATCGTTTTATGATGTTCGCTTCATTACATCACAATTCAAAGGATTCAAAGAAAGATTATGGAATTGAATTTACATACATCTGTGTTTCAATAATTGAACTTTTTACTTCCATCGTGGTTTAAGAGGTTTCGACAATTTAATTTTTTCGCATAGTCATGTTTTGAAGAGTAAATTCCCATTCAAATGCACACATTTGCATATGTAGGTGGCTATATTACATTCAAATTATATGTACAGTGTATTTTATAAAAACAATAAACAATTAAGCAAATTTTCTAGTATATGAACATCTGATAGCATTTTGAAAAGTAACGTACGTAAGTTGTGCAAGGTAACGAACAGAAAAATGCTGAGATTACTATGCACATAGTTAAGATTTCTCTTGTCCAACGGTGACGGAATACTCTGTAGAACTGGTCCCTAAAACCCGTCAATGGAGATTCTAATCCACCAAACTAAAATGTAAAAATGTTATTAAACTGTTGTTATGACTGAAAATCAAAAGGAGTAGGTCCGGTTAGACCCCTTTTTGGCCCCAAATTACAGCGTTTTATAACGTTGTTGAAAATGTTAAACTTTTAGCTATTTATTGGAAAGTAGAATACTTTTGTTACATAAATATGGGCTGTTTTTGACAGTACAATGGACATGCATCAGGTACAAGCATCATTATTTCATGCAAAAATACTGAAATCTTCACAATTTTAGCATTTGTGCCAATTTTAAGACGGTTTTGTCTAAAATGGAAGTGGCCGCACTTGTATTCAGTCTTAATATTTAAATATATGTTGTATTTATTGATAATACTTAACATATATAAATGTTGAGACTGAACACGAATGCGGCCACTTCCATTTTAGACAAAAACCATCTGAAAAGTGACGTTTTATGGCATATTTGATAGATTTTTCATATTTAAGCTTGAATTTGAGCCTCATTGATGACCAAATCAGTTAAAATCTTTAACATAAACTAATTTAATCGACTGAAGTAGACACTTAATTGTATAAAAAATGTCATAAATCTTTCATCAGATGTACTTCGAATTTCAGGCCAAAATGAACCCTTACCGGACCTTCTCCTTTATAAAAAAATACGACTTTGTTGATTTTTTTCCAATTTAATAGGGAGTTGATTTGCCACCTGAGGAGAAATAGATAAAACAATCAAACAAAAGTAAACAAAATTATTAAGAGAAGGAAAATGATGAACATAGATATAAGAAGATGTGGTATGAGTGCCAATGAGACAACTCTCCATCCAAGTCAAAATTTATAAAAGTAAACCATTTATAGTCCACAAAACACTACACAGAAAACTAGAGCTCGAGCAACACGAAAGAAGAAGGAGAGAGAGAGGAGGGAGGTTGAAACTGGATGCTCCGAAATATAAGTTTCTACTCCACTTGTGGCATATGTGGTGTTACTAATGACAAAAAAAAACTGGAAAAGTGTCGTAACAACCGAGACAAAACATGAAGGGATTTTACGTACGACAAATGGAATGTAATGGACAAATGACCACGGATATTCCAAAACAGTCAAATAAATAAAAATGGCCTCCGTAAACTGTCGAAGAGACTACTACATTTACCAATAAGAACCTTTACTGTAATAGGTTCTTGTAGGCATCTACCCTTTATCAGTGAAATGTTGGTAGGAAACACAAGCCCTTATATTTCGTATTATTTTTGGATTGTATACTCGTTCATGTGTAGCTGTGACGTTGCTTAATAAAAACTGAAAGTTCATAATTCAAAAAAAAAAACGTCCCCTCTTTTGTCAAGTTTAAAAATGTATATAAAAGAAATTGTCAAAGATACCAGACATACAATGTAGTACGCCATGCGCACGTTTCGTTTATGTAAGACTTATAAGTAGCGCTTGAATAAAAACAGTATGAAGGCTAAATCTCATACGAAGGTGAATAGCATCTATGTCTCGGTATTGAAAACCTTAGTATTCAAATGATTACGAATTTAACTGTATCAGTCGTATCTTTTATTAAAGGTTTCATTGGATATTTGCGATCATCAAAGTCACCCAACTTTGAAATATTCAGCAAGAAGACATAAAATATATAGCTCAACATAAATGTATTTTTTTAGCAGCCGTTGTATGAAGTCATGAAGTATTGTGTAAAAGTATTAAATAAGATTAGCTTAGCGTCTTTTACTCCCATGTCATCATATTTTAAACTGGTAAAATTGAAAAAAGGTTCAGCCCTGAAACTTTATCGAATCCTCTAAAACTATCAAAATTATGTGCATCATAAAACTTAATATGTTTACATACTGCGCTATCCATTCCTAGTGTAACAAGCATAAAGAAAAACATTACGGCCCAAGCATATGATCCAGGTAGAGTAGAAATTGCTTCTGGATAGACAATAAAGACTAGTCCAGGTCCTGAAAATAAACCAAACAGGTATGTATGCCTCATGATATGAAAGATTAATCATTATTCTTAAAACAAATAAAGTCGCATATCCTATATATTACTCTGACAATCATATCTTTTGAATAAACAACAATTAGCCCTTTTTTGTAGAACAAAAACATTGCCTTGAACCTATCTTTAAAGCTCTATTTGGTGTTACTATATTGTAGAGTTGCTTTCTCTATACCTGCCTTTAGTCATTTCTACTCATGTTTTAGACGACAAAAATATGCGTTAACCTCTGGTAACAAAGTTTGCTTAACCTTACAGACAAGATTTCCAAAATTATGCCATACTCAACAATTTAGAAAAAAAAACATTCGTTGGCTTGCAACTTCTCCATTCGATGTTAATGTCCATTCGCCAAATATATGATAGATATACAAATATATGTATTTTGAAAATAACTGTACTGAGTCAGGTATTTTTGTTAGTACATTTGTTTCCCTTGGAAATAAATTGAACACTAAACAAAACATATAAATGGCTAAACAGGAACTCGTTATATTATATTGATTTTTTAAAGATATTTATCTTTCAATAAACTCAGAAGATGTTTTATCGCTTTCAGTTAAACCACGTCTGTTCAATAACTTTACATTCAATTGGTATATAGGGCGTACTGCAGGGTAAATGCATTACATGAACAGTCTTCAAACAGAGTGAATATATCTTAATTGTCTGTAAACGAAAATTGAAAGACTAAAAAGGAATTCAATCTAGTTTAGACATTATAGATGTATTTAGATATAAAAATGACAGTACGTATGACACATTTGATAAGTCGAAATACCTTCTTGGGCAACTGTATCAATATGTTTATGCTGTCGTGTTGCCATGTAACCCAAATAGGTAAACACTACGAATCCTGAGAATATACTCGTAAAGCTGTTAACACCTGCTGTAATTAAACAGTCTCTGCAATCATAAACAAAACCGTAAAGTAAAAGTTCTACAATTTTAAACCAATACCAAGATATGGAAGATATACAATATATGATATCTACTATGATTTATTTAACAATATAGATATATTTATGTCAATACAGTGTCTTTTATTATAAGCATGCGTTCTTGAATGAAATCGGAACAACGCCAAATTATTGAAATGTTCATTATTCTTAAAAGATTTAATCGCATCTTCCTTTAACACAATGACTATCATGCAAGTACAAGGGTTATATAACACTGAGGATGTAAATGAATGTCGACAATGACATTCCGATTTTAATTGTAGTGTGAAATAGTAATCTTTTAAAAATGAGTGAAACAGTCAGCAGTTTTACGGTTTCTTAATGGGTACTTGTATGCAAAATTAATTTACCGATGTTCAAATCTCGTAAATCAATTTGGAAGAGACAAACGAAGGGAACAAACAAAACTGCGTCCATTCATGACAAGTTCATTACGTTCAGCATACTTTTTCAAATCATTTTTAATCAATAGCTTTATTAGAGAGAACTTGGAACATTGAAAATATAAACCACGTAAGTGTAAGTGGGTCACAGTATTGTTACTCATTGATTTGCAATTGCATTTTTTTGGAAAAAATAACAATATAGATAATCGAAACAACTTTGTTGATTTATTTTCGTCATAAAGTGTCTAGCCTTATTTACTCTGTCATTTATAAGTATATCACAAAATGCATATTCTACATTGTAAGTATGTTTTATTCTGTAAACGTTGATATCCATGGTCAAATGAAAAAAAAAAAAGAATCAGTCCATACAAAAACAAAAACAAAGAAAACTAGAGATTAAGCAAAAAGTAAAATAACAAAAGTACCGAAAATTCAAAACGGAAATTCCCTTATCAAATGGCATAATCAAAAGCTCAAACACATCAAACGAATGGAAATCAACTGCCATATTCCTGACTTGGTACAGGCATTTCCTTATGTAGAGAATGGTGGATTAAACCTGGTTTTATAGGTAGCTAAACCTCTCACTTGTATGACAGTCGCATAAAATTCCATTATATTGAAAACAATGTGTGAACAAAACAAACAGACATAATAGGTAAAAATGTCAAAAATAGGGGTACAGCAGTCAACATTGTGTTATAATCTTTATCACTATAAAAACAAAGAAAAACGCAAACTTGAAAACACTCAGGGTTGAACTCAGATGCTTCGAGAGGAAATGCGTCAACATACTCATATAACAATCAAATTACAAGTCATAATTGTTGATAATACATAATGGTTGATAATACATAATGGTTGATAATACATAATGGTTGATAATACATAATGGTTGATAATACATAATGCAATAGTGTATTGGTATATGTCTTTTTTCAAACCCTAATACATTTTCAAAAATATAAACCCTCTTAGATACAAATATTCAAGTCCTTATGTCCTGTAAATATTAATATACCTGTAACAATTATTGTTGAATTTGTTGTAACTAGCATAAGCTATGTGTGTTCCAAATCCTGCTCCAATTGAAAAGAAAATTTGTACTGCAGCATCAATCCAAACCTGTGATACAAAATAGTCCCAATTAGAATATCAAATAAGGAGATATGGTATGATTGCCAATGGGACAACTAATCAACTGAGTTCAAATAACATTGATTTAAAAGACTTTTTATAAAAAATTCCGATGACGTTCTATAAAAACTGTTAATATATACCTTAAAACTATATGTCCGAAATAATGCCACGATAATTTTTGTGCATCTTACGCGCATTGATCTGTTGTCGGTTTTTTCCAGTTACACTAAAAATTCAGTTTATAAGTCGAAAAACATACAAAACTTTGCGATTATGAGGAGTAAAATGGATTAAAATAGAAGATTCAACATGAGGTCACCACTGTCAAGGAATGTAAGCATTTTTCGTAAAATTGTTATGATGTACAATATGAATTACAACGTATCTTTATTTCACTATATAAGGCTTTGGTGTTGATTTTGAAAATAGCATCATTGGAGGTTTCGTTGAAATGGTTGTGTTTTACGATACAAGAAAGATAAGTCTTAATTCAAAATTATGCAAAACATTTCATTTATTACATTATTCATTAAATGCATTGACACGGAATTGCTTTACTGAACAATCATAAGTGTTGAGATCTGGAGTTATTTATAAATTATGAGCCTAACATTATCAATATTACAATGATATTGTGGTAAAATGCAACTCAACTGATAGAATGCGAAACAGATATTTTTTTTGTTTCCTTTTAAATGTGATATAACGAGATATTTTGTTGCTTTTTTTTTTTTTTGCTATTGCATTTTATGTACAGCTTTTAGTTTTACGTTTTAATTGTGTAGTATTCAAATCAAATAGACAATACCTTGTAAAGGTCTTTGAATGCTAACGTTTTTTTTACAAAACGTCCGGCTTTGTGTTTGAATATAAAGACTGTGTGTCACTAATAGATTTGTTTTACATTTTAAAATGGGTAATACCGTACTGAATTAAATGTGGGATTTGTTTTAATTGACAATATTGTATTGTTTAAATGCCTTTTTTTTTGGAGATTTTAACATTACCAATATGGTTTAGTATAGGATTAGTCTGTTTAGATTTTAAGTGCCAGTCTTTGTAAGAATCAGGCAATTTTGAAAAAAATCAAAACATGGCTGAAAAAAACCCACCGACCTAACCATCCTATTTTGAAGTTACCCTCATCCTGAGTTAGAAATGGTAGGTCTTTCGTTTCTGCGTGTCTGGTTATTCGAGAAATCTCTAGATAAATTTTGGTTAGAATGATAGCAAATTACGGAGTAAGCTCCCCTTAATTTTTCATTTCTTGTGCATTTCAACCAAACTATATCTTGAATTACCAGAACAGGACAAGGAAACGAATGTTATATTCGTGCACCATTATACATTTTGAACAAAAATTAATGTCAACTTGAGTGGGTTTTTGTTTGTCATGTTTTCACCACTGCCTGATTCTTAGGCAGATTGGCACTTAACATGGACGATACTGTATTGTATAAATGCAATTGTTGAATAAAGTACCCCGGCAGTAAATGTTTCGTCTCAATAGTAACTTACATCCGGTACGGTGACGGACAACAGAATAGACATAGAAAAAGTAGTATTTCTGTTAATCTATTTGTTTTATGACATTGAAGAATATAATTACATATATACCTATTTTCGATTGGGAGATGTAATGAACGTCAAAATAGTAAATTTAGTTAACATAACCTCGAATTTGTTTATTATTTTATTGAATTGTGCATATTGTACGGAAAGAAATGTTCGGAAATAAAGATATAAACATGGAGAATACAAGACTAGTAATTTTGAGCACCTCAATATTTGTATTCCTATGCATGGAACTAAAGAAATGGGTCGTTTCAAAATTGAAGGACCCGGTTTTGTTTACAAATGACTGTACCTGTGGATCACCTAAGCGACTCATGTTTGGTGTGATAAAATAGCTAACGCCTTCTGCTGCACCAGGCAACATGGCACCTCTGATCAACAGAATAGTTAAAATGAGGTAGGGAATTGTAGCTGTAAACCATACAACCTTCAAATACAAAATAAAGAATTAAAGCAAACGTATTAATTGTTCTATTACAGTTATTTCGGCAATAAAACTTTAAAAAAAAAAAAAAAAAGATATGAACTGAAACTCTTCTACCTTTAATAAATACTCCAATATTCATCTCCGAAAATTTATTCGTGTTATCTTTATTTATTTTGTAGTCGGTATGACTACAAAATGAATAAGATAAAACGAATAAATTTTCAACTATTAATTGTTTTAACGAATTGAAGGATTTTTTTAACTAAACCATTTTTTTTTTTTTTTTTTCAGATCTCAACCTTTTCCCTTTTCATCTCAATTAGAGGGTAAACAAAAGGTACATATCAGACGATACAATAATATTCATTTCTAAAATAACCGTAATGTATTATACAAATTAAAAAAACAACAAGTACTTGTAAAACAATATGAAATTATAGCGTATTAAAGATACTCGCTGTTACTAAAAACAAACTCAAAGTTCATATCCCGTGTTAAAAAAACCATGTCGTCCTCCATTATCGATTGTATATCAAAATCAAGTGCTCCAGTTTTGACTTGTGATACAGATAAACGTCCGTATAATTATATTCATCAATCTTGTAATAATCTAAACAAGAACAAGTATCCAATCTCGAATGTGTTAAGACTGGTGCAAACTGGGCCACCTGTTATGTAAACATCAATTAATCATTTTAAAGTCAAATAAAGATAATTAATCTGTAATAAATGGTTGATGTATTAAAAATACTGAGTTCCTGATATATTCACAAGCCAAGTAGATATAAAACATTTATATTAAAGCAAAAGATGCAGTATTAATAAAATGAATAACACTTTGTTGTCCATAATCTGTCTGCAAATATCTTCAGTAGTTAAAAGGCATACAGATTATATATATATGAGACAGCAATCTCATATTAATTGTGCAATAGACATATATTAAGTGTGCAATAGCCATATATTAATTGTGCAATAACCATATATTAATGGAACCGTTGCCTTGCATCTTCATCTTATATCTTCGAAAGAAGATGTAAACCGCACAGATATTGATGTTTAAGGGACAACCCATAGTCTCCGTTTAATTAAGATGAGTTTATCTATTCCTGGTGTATTACAAATGCTTGATATATGTTTTTATCATCGTTAGCAAGAAAAGCGATAGGGATAATTGTGTCTGTTCATGTCTTTACCTACTGCGCACAATGCTTTTGTTCACTATTTATATACAAGTAGCTACCAGCTTTCGAATGTGTCATGCAGTAGCATTGTAGGACGGGTCAGATAAACTTAGACATTCTGCAAAAATTATCGGCAAACAAAAAATATATTTATGTACGAAAGGAAGAAACACTAGCCTTTTGAAATATCATCTAGACTGTTTTGCCGCAATTGCGAGTATTTCTAAATGTTTTATTTGTTTTATAATGAACATATATGGAATTTCGACGATTTTCTATTGGGTGTCTACAGCTCAGTCCTTATTTAATCAATTATTTGTCAATTGATCTCCGTTTTGCTTAGACGCACCGAATTAGAATTTGTTTATATAATTTTGAAAAAAAATGTTCTAGAACTGCTTAGAGCATAATGATATGAAAGTTCAAAGAGAGGTTAAAACTGATTCCGATATACCTAAATTTCACTTAATTCTGATTCAAAAGGCGGTTCTGAAAACAGGTTTTTGACCACCATTGCAGATCTTAAAAAGACCTTAAATTGTAAATCACTGTTAATGCAATAAATTCAGTCAGACAAAGGGGAGAAGTAATAAAGGGAACCAGATTAGTCTTTAATTCTGAAGAAAATTTTTGTTATATTTTAAAGGTATAAAAAATTCTTTTGAATTGTGGTTAAACAAAATGCAATTAGAGAGGTTTAGAAGAGAGTCGAAAGATATCAAAGGGACATTCAAACTCATAATTCGAAAATAAAGTGACAACGTCATGGCAAAAAAAAAGGAAAAACCCCAAAGACAAATAACAGTAAACAAAACACAACATAGAAAACTAAGGAATGAGCAACACCAACTCCGCCAAAAACCGTGATCACAGGTGCTCCGGAAGGGTAAGCAGATCCTGCTCCACATGTGGCAACCGTTGTGTTGCTCATGTAAGTACAACCCGGTGATAAGTCTAAATCCGTAGTTAACATTCGAGGAAAAGAGGACGGGGTTATGGTAACGACAATTGGAATATATTAGAAGTTTGTAGTGTTTTTATATTGGTCTCATCATTATTGTTTTTACAAATCCGGGTCAGGTACATACAAGTGAATAAGTTAAATTTTATTAAACATAATGCGATAAAATTAATTTGTTGCAAAATATCAATTGAAAAATATAGACATTTTCTAAAATGTTATATATGGTGACGATTTTAAACCTTTCTATTATATCATCGGTTTTTTAACATTATATAGGGTTTTAATCGAAGAGCAGAAATTCATTGACACGAAATCATTTCATGAAGCATGATTTTTTTTATGGTTTGATGTGACATTGTTGTGTGAAAAATGAACGTTTCAAAGATCACGCGCAACCTCAATTACCGCGTGATTTCACCATGATTTTTTTTTCATTTTAAGTTAAGTATACTAATAAAGTATGTATATCGAAATTCAAACTGAAAACAGTCACATCTGCGTCTTGATTTTTGAATTGACAGTATCATGGTACTTTTTCCTTCATGGACCCAAACATCTGTTCATCATTTGTGCACCGACAAAACCAATTAACATTTCATCAATAAATAAAGTGTCGACTTTTAGATATTCTACCTTCTTAAGTAATTAAACGCAACACCCAACATTTAATATCATTTCACAAGTGCCTTTATCATTAATTTTTTACGGTTTATTATCATATACAAGGTGGTAAATATGTTAATGATGCATAGATGCTTTGATTCTGTATCAAAATAAACAGCAGACTATTAACTAATATTTTGTTTTAAATTAATAAATTATAAAACGCGTTTTACGTATCTATCTCGTACGAATAACAAATTTTATACAGTTACAAATTACATCTAATGCATCCGGAGAATTAATTTATCCATGATGTCAATATTTTCAGTAGCAATAGTAATTGTTAAAATTGGCTGTTGTGAAAACTTAGGTATTGTTGGTAATTTTATTGTTCGTACTCTAAAATGACAAAACCTTACGCTATTTGTCATATAAACCATTATTTTACACGTTGTGACCTTCTACACAACATTTCAGTGTGTGCTTCTGAAAATATTACCTAAAATGCAACAAATTCGGAAACAGTGAAGCGCATACTTTCTGCGTCTGGATTCCCCTATCGTTCCCTTTAAAACTGATTTTGACGTCATAATATTTCGCATAACAAGGCATTTATCTAGGATAATAGACCCCAGAAGGGTGACTTGGGAATATGGTCCCTTTTGTCTTCTTCCGACCAGTAGTAAAACCCTCGCCGAAGTGGGGCGTCCGTTTGGCTGTGCGGGATGTAGAAAGTACGCAGCAACGTCTAGTCAGAATGTGGACGTTAAATCCGATGCCTCGTGTAGAGAGATTGCCACACTCTCTGCACGTTAAGAACCCTTGCAACAACTCTTTGAGGGGTTCGTAAGTGGCCTGTTATAAGGCTAAATTTCTGTCCCTATCCAATATACCCTCATTTTCCAGTGGCAGTCTAAATTTCGATAGATAGAGATACAGGAGCATTCAGTTAAGGAAATGTATTATTTGAAACTTAGATCATTACGTTTATCAATATTGATGTGTGTTTAAACGTACTCTTGTCTCTATCAATAGATGTACATGCAGGTATCACAGCTATCGACGGAAGAGACAAACAAAAAATACAAAACACTGTACTATAAAAACGATCACAAACGACAATGTACAAGTTTATTTAATAAGATAACCATACCTTTCCAGCACTTTTAACACTTTTCCATAGACAAAAGTAGAGAATGGTAAACGTTAACATTGTACACAACGCTAATTGCCATTTAACATTCCCAAGATCAGATATTCCTGTACTTTTGTGTAGTCCTAACATACCACGTCTGTGTAAATTAAGAAAAAACATATAAAAAAGTCATTGTTAAGCGGTACATGTATTGCAAAAAGTCTAAAGGTGAATAGGGGAGGGTTGAGCGCTCACAAAAAATGTCACAAGTTAGCTCCGCCGCATTCTGTGTGTGTCTGTCGCATGTCAGGAGCCGGTAGTTTAGTGGTTGTCGTTGTTTGCTGTCCGTTGTTTCTATTTATCGTTTATCGTTTTTGTCATAAATCAGCCTGTTGATTTTCGTATGAATTGTTTCTCATTTTGTCATGTCGAGGCATGGATTTTGCTCATTGTTACAGGCTGTACGGTGACATATGATTGCTTAACTCCACGTTATTTTGGAATGTTGGATAGTTGTCTCATTGACAATCATACCACATGTCCCTAGTTTATGTAAATATGTCCTGTATGATTATAGAAAAAAAATATATTGATAAATGGTTTGGTCTTATAATTGATTTCTTGAGAGTTGAATAAATTACATTGGGTTTTCTTCTATAATGAACAGTACATAACAAACAATAATACAACTGAATTATGTGTTTAGATTTTGTTATCAACTTGATGCCAGGATACATATATAACATTGCAAACAAGTATAGTAAAGGACCCTTTAATATAAAAATACAGATATCAATATTGGAAAGTTTTTGTAAATCCTTATAATTTTGACGCGGTAAAAGGTCACGAAGTACTGTTTCGCATAGATGAGTTATTATGCAGAAAACCCACGACGATCTTTTGTTTAGCTTCATTTTTTTTACTAATACTTACTCAAAGAATTCGAACGTTGACGACACAGATGTATTACTATTGTACGTTTTGTTGTAGTATGTCTCGTTAGAATCCCACTCAATTTGCCAGCAGTTTTCAGAGTTGAATTCGTGATCACATGTCGTCCATGGTAGCCCAGTAGTGAACGATGAAAACATATAATAAAATGACCATGCGATGACCATATTGTAGTAAAAGGCTACAATATAGGCCATGAAACAGGAGGCATAACCAATACCTACAAGAAAAGAAAAAAAAGTATCAAAGTAAGTTATCATCACTTTCCATTGTGTGTGTGTCGCCAATTATATGGTTATATATTCACAGTAGCTGTTCAATTCATTAAAATGCTTATCTTTCATTGGTGGAAATACAAATCAATTGATTCTGTCATATGGTTCCAATTTGTTTAAGAACAACATATTGACAAGAAAACAACCCCCAAGATTATAGAATTATAGAAACTCCGCCTATAGATGTAATAAATAAACACTGTTTTACACATTGTTCATCTATTTCGTGCAACACGTTATGTTTTAAAAAAAGTAATGTCAAATTTCATCAATTTGAAAAAAAATAATTGACATTATATATACTTAGATATAGGAAGATGTGGTATGAGTGCCAATGAGACAACTCTCCATCCAAGTTACAATTTATAAAAGTAAACCATTATAGGTCAAGGTACGGCCTTCAACACGGAGCATTGGCTCACACCGAACAGCAAGCTATAAAGGGCCCCAAAAAATTACTAGTGTCAAACCATTCAAACGGAAAAACCAACGATCTATATATCGTAAATTTAAACAATTGGTAGAAATATGTAACAATAATATATAAATAACACATATCTGAGAGGGTGATAGAGCAGATTGTTACCCCGAGAAAACATTGTCAACTGAGGCGAAGCCAAGGTTGACAATGACTTTTCGAGGGGTAACAATCTATCACCCTCTCATATATGTGTTATTTAATTTATTATACTGAATGTACCGTTATTACTGTCTATTAAATTTAAAATTCAAAGTAATATATAAATAACACATAGCTGTGAGGGTGATAGAGCAGATTGTTACCCCGAGAAAACATTGTCAACTGAGGCGAAGCCAAGGTTGACAATGTCTTTTCGAGGGGTAACAATCTGCTCTATCACCCTCTCAGATATGTGTTATTTAATTTATTATACTGAATGTTCTATTATTACTGTCGATTAAATTTCAAATTCAAAGTAATAAACTATGACGTCTTGTACATAACAACCATCCGTATTTAATAAAGCGCACACTTGATCAAGCGTCTCCGTGAAGGGTAATAGAGTATTTGCCATAGGATAGAGTCGTATTTAATAAAGCGCACACTTGATCAAGCGTCTCCGTGAAGGGTTATAGAGTATTTACCATAGAATAGAGTAAATTAACACCCTCGTATAAGCCAATCAAAATATCGCATTTTTACGTGAAGTATAATAATAAACTATGTCGTCTTGTACACAACAATCATCCGTATTTATTAAAGCGCACATTTGAGCAAGCGTCTTCGTGAAGGGTAATAGAGTATTTTTCCATAGGATAGAGCAAGGACGTATATTATTATACGTCCTTGGATAGAGTAAATTGTCTCCCTCGTATTAACCAATCAAAATGTGGCATTTTGACATGAAGTCTAAAAATAATAAATATTATCCTAGTATGATATCAATGTTTAGTAATGCTAAAACGTTTATGAATTTGTTTAACAGTTTAAAGTTATTTAAGCGCGTCAGGCAAAATGTGAAGGTCACTTGCTACCATTTCGATCGTATAGATAAAAAAAGCTTTGCATTGCGTAATAAACATTAAACTGGTTGTCCAATGATTAATATGTATTATTAGAAGATCATGATTGTATAATTCAACATATGCCTTTTAATCTTTTAATTCTCAATTATATATAGCACTAAATTCTGGTTTTAGACGAGACAAGAATCTTGATTGATTTTTAATTGGATGTCCTAGAAGTAAAGAATAAACTGATGAATTGAATATTGATTAAGCGTCTAGTTTTCAAACATTTGGGGAACACGCTATACATGATGCATTTTTAGTAGTTTAGTATCTTAATATACTGGTATTCTTTTGATCAAAGATATGATATTTGCCTTTATTTTGTTTTATTAGCTGCAAATTTAGTTTTAGGAACAGGTGTTTAAATGATATTAACATTACACTTGATCAATAAATAGCAACTGAACTGTTTTGAAAATCTATTTATACCAAAACGTCGTTTCATGAAATGTGGTTCGTAAATTTTTATATTAAATATTAATGTGCTGGTGAATATTATAACATTTATAAACGGATCAATCATATTTAAAGTTAACTATGTTGACTATAAGACAGATAAGGCGGTTTAAAAAGTCAAAATATTTAAAATAAATAATTTGCATGATATCTAATTGTTGATACATTCAACATTTAACTGCAAGCATTCAGGTTTTCAGTTTTACTGCAAGCTTTCAGTTTTTCAATTTAACTGCAAGCATTCAGTAGAAACTAAATAAAAAAAACGGTTATGGTCACTTTTTACCTCTATTGACGGAATAGGCATTTATATACATAAAGATGACGAGATCAAAAAGAAGTTGTGTCCCTCCTATTAAAAACTTTTATTAACACTTAAAAGAAATAGCATGTTCTATAATCTAATTGGTGTCAGAAATGAAAAGATCAAGACATAAATAATATATATATATAATTACATTACATTTATGTTACATTATAAAACGTTATTTTGATTGGCTAACAGCAATCTCGCGTCATTTTGAAATTAACCTTCATTTCAAAATGAAATGTAACATTCATGATGACACGAGCTTCCACAATAAAGTGCACAGGTAAATAAAAAAAAATGTTAGAAATCGCGTTTTCATGTTCCTAGCAAAAAAATGTAATTATAAGTATTTAATGATTCTTTTAGTAATTTTATAGGGTTGTAAACGCGTTGGCTGTGCGCACATTTTTAGAATGAAGCTTCCGCGCTTCATACTAAATGTACTACGGTCAACGCTTTTACACCCCAATAAATTTACAAAAAGAAGCATTCAATTCTTAAATAATCAATAATCGAAAGCATCTAACAACCCTTACGAAAACCGAATCAATATTGACTAATGTATTATATTATATTTGAAATGATATAGTGAAATTTATATCTAGTTTGTGCATCAGGAAGTGCAGACTTTGGTTTCCCAATAAAGGAAAGTATTTTGATAAAGAGGATTAACTTGTTCAAAACGATAATGTAAATGTGCATGTTTAATTGGAAAATAATAAAACCACCCTAATAGACATCAAATGAAAATTAAGAGTAATTTGAAACATCTCCTCTTCAATATTGAACGTCTGATTTTAGCATTTAGTACATTTTAATGATAAAAGATATCAAAAAGACATGAAAAGTTAAACTGTAGAATGTGCATCTATTTTCGTTTTTCTTTTTTTATTATTTTGCATATGTGTTAACATGTAAAAATCATTTATGTCATACTTTATAGCATGCAATTAGTTTACAGGCGTTACCTTTATTGCAAGTTTCTAACAATGCAAATTATTTTTCATCAAATATTAGCTCTTTAAAATTTTTAAATCACCTCGGTGGTCTCGAGGTAATGACGTTGCCAACGTTAAATGTTATTTTTGTGACATATCGGGAAAAGATTAATTTTATGACTGATTTAAACCATTTGCTTGAAAACGAGTACATATACCACTCTTTTTATCTATGACAATTGGCTTGGTTATGTATAATGATTATTAGGAACAATTTTTATGAACAAGTTTCAGATGAATCTTTTTTAAATTAGATTGTACAGTAAAAAATGCCGGTTTTTTTTCTAAAATCAAGAAAATTTAATACAATGAATTATTTCTAAAGAATTGTTACACAAATTTAGAGCAAACTTATGTAAAAAAGATATTCCAAATATCTGTATCTGATGAAACAAAATTTAGTATGTCTGTCCATAGAAATTTCAAAGAAATCGAAATTTTTGAGTGAATGTCTGAATTTTCCCCCTTTATCTCCAAAAGTAGCAAATGAAGGTACATTTTTTTATTACATAAGATACAGTAGTTAGTACTTCGGTACTGGCATGAATATACCAGTATTGTGTCATTTAGATTTGCTGTTACAAAATTTTGGAAATTATTCAAAATTAAGGAACATATCTCCCTCATGCAAAGCTCTGTTTCTTTGTCCGGAATTGGATATACTTTTTGTCCGATCTGGTTTATAAGATCTTCATTTTTTAGTAAGTTTTGGATTGTGAAATGTTTTGGCCTCGAGCATCACTGAAGAGAAATTTATTGTCGAAATGCGCACCTGATGCAGTAAAGTTAGTACCGTTAATGTTATTATATTTAAATTATGCAAGTAAAAAATAGCTTGTATGCAAATTTTCGTAAAACAGTTCACGGTGGGATCAAAACTGTATCGTTTGCCCTTAAACGACACTAGAATGATACTTCAACGAGTAGTGTAGTTTAGTTTAGTTTATGACTATGATTTTCTTTGGTCAAAGATACAAATAGGATCTTACATCTATATGACAGCATGATTCAAATGTTGTTCCATGCGAGAAAAAGAATATCCAGTCGAGAAGAAGAAAATGATTTTTTATCATTGCCCGGAGCTTTTTTTAACAAAAAGAATATCGTGAATTATATCAAAAGTTACCCTAAAATGTTCATAACGTGCAAATAGTTTTTGTGAAATAATCCCATAAACTTAACGTTATACAATGAAAATCGAACTGTTAATGTTTTTTTTAATAACTAAATTATATATAAAAAAAAACAAGTTCCTTTTAAGTTGTGTGGAAGGAAAGTTTTATTCTTTTGATAGAAATGTGTAAAAGTGATTATTTACATCCCCTTTACAGACTGTGTTTGCGTTAAATCGTTGTTATCGGTAATCAATGACAAACAAGTATAAATTTAATGTACGTTTATCTAAGCTGTTACGGTTTTTACCTTATTTTTCAAATATACTCAACGAAAGAAAATAATGAAGCAGAACTATATGAAATTATTTCACTATATTTCACCGGGCACTGGGTAAAGTATTTCACTTCTGTGTGTTTTAAGGTAATGGACTGCAAACATTTTCTCTGTATTGAATTTCTTCGTTTTGAAATATTGACGATTGCAATTGAAAATACAGATTTTGCAATAAAACTACTCTGTATATATATTTGTCAAT